CTAGTAAACCGTAGCAACCTGTATCAAACTGTAGTTTGTGATATACCAGTGAGTGGAAAGATTAAAATGCTTACTTTTACATCGGTGCTTAAAAAGATTCTGCTGCCACAGGAAACACCATATTTTCTGTTTTTTCTTATTTGTATGCTACAATTCAGACTGGCTCAATATTGATTTTCTGTTATTCTGATTTTGTTAGGATTCCTTGAAAGCTCTCAAGGAGAAGGAGCAAAGAACTGTCTATCGATTGACACTTGTTAAAGGGTGGAATGCAGAAGAAGTGGATGCATATTTTAACCTATTCAGCATCGGAAAACCTGATTTCATTGAAATCAAAGGTGTCACTTACTGTGGATCGTAAGTTCTCCCTCTTACTTTTCTTTTATTCTTTTCCCCCTATTCTGCTAGGTTGATTTGATTTCAGAACTCAGTGCATGCGAATTCAGTTAAGTAACGAGGAGGATTTTACACAGGTCGGCTACATCAAAGTTGACAATGGAGAATGTCCCTTGGCACTCTGATGTGAAGGAATTCTCTGAGGCCTTGGCTAAAAAGAGCAATGGAGGATATGAGGTTGCTTGTGAGCACGTGCATTCTTGCTGTGTTCTTCTGGCTAAAGTCGATAAGTTTAAGATAGACGGTCAGTGGTACACGTGGATAGACTACGAGAAGTTCCATGACCTGGTTGGTTACTTCTCTTGTTCAAGCTTTTCAGTACATAGGTTATAGCTATAACATTCCCATTTCCTTTAGCGTAATCAATGTTTTTTAAACCTATGGTGCTACAGGTCGCGTCTGGAAAACCCTTTACCAGTAAGGATTACATGGCACCTACACCATCTTGGGCCGTCTATGGAGCTGAGGAAGGCGGGTTTGATCCAGAGCAATTGCGTTATAAAAAAGAGCGACGCCACAAATCATCTCGTAAAGAAAATGGTTCTTGAAAGTGCAAAGCAGTTTTCTTTACCTCTGATGGCTTACAATTTTGTTTCACAGTTAGATTTTGCTTTCCTTGCATTTCTCCTTGAAGAGCCAGCTTGTACTAGTGGTGTTCATCGGTAGTTTGGTGTTTTGGCTTTTCAGTCTTAAAAATGTTATACCAATATCATACCAAAATAAATATGGTTCCGGTTTTTCATTTATTGGTTTCGTTTTTTTTTTTTTTTTT